GTAGTTCTGTTTCTGAGAAAGTAATGCGATACTGTGTTCTTTAAATGTGTTGCACAATGTTAGAGGAAAAACTTCCTATCAATGTAACATGTTTGTACATAAGCTTACAGAATCCTAATCCTGTGTATATATATATTTTTTTTTAAAAGCCGGTGAGATTGAGTAAGCTTTTGACATCCTCGAACGTCTGAGAGTTAAACAATTTCCACTCCGCCTTTACTTTGACCTTTTTGTAAAAAGTTTTCACAATAAAAAACAGAAATGAGTCCAAACAGATTCCTTCCATCAAAAAAACAAACAATAAAACCATCCATCTGCCCATCCATTTTCTTTTGTTTCTCCAGTTTGGACTTACAGGTATGCTGGAGCCTCAGGTGTCATAAAGCAGGTTTTCACACCTATAACAAATTTAAAATCACCAGTCGCTCAAGCGTGTGTGTCTTTGCTCTGGCTGAAGAAGCCAAAAAGCTCCAAAGATTTTATTAAATTACCAGTAACTTGACCAGCGATATTTCACTACTTCTGATGTGTTTATTTTTTTTGTTTGTTTGTTTTTTACAAATTAGTAATATAATATATGCATTTCTTCATTCATCCATCCATTTATTCATTTTCCTTCATCTTATTTTATTAGAAAAATTTGTGGATTGGAGGAATGTCTCTGTATTTAAATACATATGTGGACATAATAGTTGCAAAAACAGTGTGTATGTTCAGATCATGACAGGTGGGGTTTGTACAGGGAAATATCTGGAATTTTGCACATGTGCGTTTAGAACAAAGGTTTCCTTTATTTGCATAAATGTGGATGTTTGGTTTGCATAAAGATGTTCGGCTTCTCCTGCTGCTGTCCATCCTGTGCTGCAGGGTTACTGCACACAGTTTCTGCTTCAGTGCTGTAAGTAGTTGCAGTTCACATATGTACCACAAAGCTGCGCTAGTTTCATGTAGAAATGATGGAAACACACATAACAGACTTCAAACTTTTCCATCGCTTTTTTTTTTTTTTTTTTAGATTTTCTGTATAATTGATAAACCTTCCATGTTTCTCTGTGCAGGAATAAATAATGTTATTAATATTTCAATGTGAAATCAATGATTGGTCAGGATCCTGCTGGCTGCATAACCGTCAGAACTATAAACATGCATTTTACCCTTCATTATGCAGTTAACACATTATAACGTGACTCTGTAATAGCAGGGTTACACTGTTTACCAGCTACCGTCTGTCTTTGTGGAGTGTGCCTTTTTCCTTCTGTCAAAACAGCCAGATGAAGTTTTTGAACTTGAGCTGTTTGACCCGAGGGAATTGATGCATCTATTCTCTATTTATAACGCAGACAGGAGGTGTGCCATCACACAGAGGCAAAGTGATTGGTGGATCCTCAGAGGACTCTTTGTGCTTCTGTAAATACGCAATACACATGGGGAACATAGTTGCATCTGCTCTGTGAAAACATGTATGCATGCAACCATCCACGCATTGATCTACCGAAATGAATTCTTTGGAGATTGCAGATGTGTTCATGCATGCCCTATATGCATACAAGAAGGCAAACAAATTCACATGTATGCTTTAATGCTTATACACTTTCACAATGAAAGAGTTACAGCTTGCTGCTGGCACTCCCACATTATTGAAGCATACGTACGTATTTTCAAGATGTTCTGCACAAAATGAGCTTTTTCTTCCTTAAAGGTTCAAAGAAGCTCAACAAATACACACATATCATCCTAATATAAGTTTCCCACGTGAAGCTTTAAACTTCACGTTAACAGATACTCACGGAGAGTGCCTGCCTCAGTTTTCTTTCATTTAAGAGTGAAAAGTGGCACATGTCAAATCACTACCCACAGACCTTTAATGCCTTAAAACTGGCTCATGGATAGCTTTTAGTCTGACATCTACTGACACAATAATTCAGATAGATAACAATCTGAATGGACAAACAATGCAAGAGATACATGCAAATGCACGCAATGATGTTGTTTTACAGAGTACAAGAATACTGGGTTTTGAAAGTGTCACAAATATGTTTGTCATTAATAAATTGAGCAAAAATTTTTTTTTTTTTTAAAAAGTGATGCTGTGTAAAATCTAAATAAAAGTAAAGTGTTATCATCTGAAATCTCATGAACCCATATTTTGTTCATAATAAAACAGAAAACATTATTTAACAGTATTTTGAATTTGATGGTAGCAACATATCACAAAAAGAGTTGAGACAGGGTCACGTTTACCCCCCTTTTTTAACATCGGCCTTTAAATGTCTGGGAGCTCAGGAGACCAGCTCAGAGTCTTTTGAACTTCTCATACAAAATTCTAGCTGCTCAACAGTCCTGAATCTTCTTTCTATTATTTATCTTTTAACAATGTTTTCAAGTCAGTGAACATCACCACAAATGAAGCAAACGCACAGACACCGATGTTGTTTTTGTGACTGCTTTACTGGCACGTTTTATTTTGGAAAAATACATGAATGCAGTATTAATATATTTGCGATTACTATATGAGGCAGGAATGGTTCCACATGATAAGCAGTTAAGCAGAAATGAGAAGCAACAATATAAAAGTAATGTATGCATCACATAGTCTCCCTTTGTCCTACTTCAAGTCCCGGCCTGACTAATTTGCCATGCTGCTCACCAGCTTCTCCAATAAGGATACCGTTTCTAGTATGAAAGACTTTGGCCAAAGCGGGACTCATGGGTGAGGGGATATACTCGTCACAGTAGTCACCACCTAGGCTCGGTGCACACTCTACTTTGCAGGAAAAGAATAATGTACCGTGATTAAGCATGCAGCTGTAATTAACCCAGCCTTTGCGTGGTTTAACCTGACACTGCCCAAGATGATCACTGTTCCAGTATCTATCCTCGTCGTATATATTTAACACCAATTTGTCTCTCATGTTAATTGTGATCGGTCCAAACTCAAATACCTCCGACCACCTGGGATTATCATTGTTTGGTATAATAGCAGTGCGCCCTATCTGGTAACCATATTTAAGCTCTACTGAACCATCTGTCTGAGTACACTGGTCTCCATATAGATTCTTTGCATAAAGATTGAACACCTTCAATGTTGCACGACCTTTCCCAGCAGGACAGCAGTTCGACTTGATATTTTTATTACCGTTACAGACACAAGCGCAGGGATCTCTTCTGCTGGATCTGGATCCAATCTTACAGGTTTCGGAACATTTTTTCATCAATGCGTTTTTCTTAATGTACTTTTCCACCTCTAGCTTCAGTCCCGCAATGGCATAATGGCTGCTTGGCAGAATCATGTGCATGGGCTTTATATTGTATCGGACCACATCAGGTATGGATTTAAGAGAGTTGACCCAGTCTCTCATAACGGATGTTGATTGCCCTTGAAAGAGGATATCAGCTCCGTTAATGTGTCCACCAATGATGTCTGTGAATCGCTCACTAAATGTACTGCTGAAACTTTGGCCATGGTTCAACTTCCTTTTCATTGCCTCGCAATGTTTGTTCATGGTTTTAATGCTGGCAGAGCTCATGAAACTAACTGAGGCCTCCACTGTGAGACAGTCGTTGACATCTGTAGCTGACAGGCCATTCATGGCCGCCTGACAGGTCTTGATGGAAGTGATGGCCTTCATTTCTCCTCCTAGATACACTTGTGTGATGTAATGTGTGCCATATGTCTCAACCAAATTCCGGTATAAATGCTTGGTTGCGGATGAATAATAAGGAAGGGCCTTCACAACTGATTCAAAATCATGACTCAGTGGAGGATTTGCTTTTAGTCTGTAACTGTAAAGGACAGAAATAAAACAAAAAATTTAAAAATGTAAGCAATAATATAATATAGGTAATAAAATTTTACCCATATGATAAAATACTGTGGATGAGTTTGTCTGTCTGCAAATAACATAACTACTGGAATAACATAGAAAGATTAGGACTATTTATTATTTGTAGTTTTTAGGAATTGAATTAATTCTGTTCAAATACTCACCTGTAGAAGTTACACTTGACAGAATGGCGAAAGAACGTGTAGCGATCTTGTTTTGACTTTTGCATGGCGAAGGTAGATTCTTTGGAGTGGGAGCCTCCAAAACCAACCCCAAGTCCAACGCTACCAGAAACAGGAATATCAAGGCCAACTTTCCAGTCATTGGACACAGATGATGTGGAATCATTAGCAAGCGTTTCAGCAGAATCATGGAGTGTACTGGAGACTGATAAACTGCACTTGGGGAGCATTCTCCAGTCCAGCACTGCAGCAGGGACCTTCTGTTTTACCTGATTCATGTAGCTGTTTCTGTACATTCTGCAAGTGCCATCTTGAAGTTTCCACGTTTCAGTGTCGATGACATAGGCGCCTTTTCTCTCCATCGTCACAATGTCAAAGCCTTCTCCAGCCAAGTTGTAACCAGGGACAAAGTGAGCCTTTTTACACTCCTCTGGTGTACCAATGAAGCTCACACTGGATGAAAGGCACAGGGGGCTCCATGCCCAGCAGAGGAGCAGGAGGTGCCACAGCCTTACCATCTATATGAAGGAAATAAAGAACAACAGAAGGAAAAATAATAAAAGGCAATACAAGTTAAAATCTTGGGAAATTCAAAGCCAGAATGAAGGTTTTAGGTGTCTTACCATCAGCATTAACAGGAAGTTCTGTTTGATGCCTCAAAATGGACAGCTTAAGATATTAGTGTCCAGGAGGTGGAGTCTTGAAAGGGTATTTAAAACTAGGTTCCAACAAATTTCTCACAAGTTTTATATTGAATCAGTTTTGTTCACACATTTTTACACACCCCACACCCTCCATTAGGCGTTGACGATAATTAATTAAACTTCTGCTAAGAACTAGAAGAAGAAAGAAGGCGACTTGTTAAAGACAAATAAATAAATAGCCAGAGGGTCAAACAGAGACCAGAATGAGAGGTTGGAACATTATCACGCAATACCTGAAGTGTCAAGCATAAAGTGTAAAGCGAATTATGATGATGTTGATGGTTATGTTTTGTGTATTTGATCTTCATGTTTGACCTCCTCCTTTTAAGTTGCTGTCAATAGTTTTTGGTTATATATTCTTTAAAATATTTATTACATTTAACCTAAATGTTTTATAACATTAATTTTTTATATATATCTAGAAGGCAAGGCAAGTTTATTTGTATAGCACAATTCAACAACAAGGTGATTCAAAGTGCTTTACAGAGACATTAGAAACAAAAACAAATAAAAAGCATGATTTAAAATTGAATGAAACAAGCAAGCAAGCAAACAAGCAAGCAAACAAGCAAACAAACAAACAAACAAACAAAACAGTATATAAAATCAAAACAGATAAAATCAGAACAGTAGATAAAATCAGTAGTTAAAATGTAAGTTTTGAAATTTAAGTTTAAGTGCAGATTTGGTGTTTTATTCAAATGCAGCTGAGAACAGGTGAGTCTTCAACCTGGATTTAAATAAACTGAGTGTTTCAGCTGATCTGAGGCTTTCTGGGAGTTTGTTCCAGATATATGGAGCATAAAAGCTGAATGCAGCTTCTCCATGTCTGGTTCTGACTCTGGGAACTGATAAAAAGACAGATCCAGATGACCTGAGGGATCTGGAAAATTCATACTGGGTCAGGAGGTCACTGATGTATTTTGGTCTTAAACCATTCAGAGCTTTATAGACCAGCATCAGAACTTTAAATTCTATCAAGGATTCAAGCAATTTATCATCCTGGAAGCAAAAGTGAATGTTAAGTTGTAAATCTAATTGTAAATGTACTATTTTGAATTCTGAACAGTGCTGCATTGTAAATGTTTTTTCCCCTTTTGGTTAATGCAAAGACTCACTGAAATTCAATAGCTAACAGCAACATACTATAAAACTTATATTTTCTTGACAACACAGCATCATAACCCAGTAAAAAGCTTGATACAATTTCTTATAATGTAATTTTGAAAGGATATTAATAGCTTACACACAGATGAGTGTTATCATTCCTTTTCTTACTGTAACTAATGTTTGATAAAAACACAGACACATTCAGGCACAAGGAAATTCCAACATGCCTACCAGG